ACATGCCATAAGTGGGGGGAGCGCAGGGGGGGTCATGTGCGGGCATGCCGCACCATTAATGCAATGTGCAACACATACCCCAGGCGCATGCATGCACTACAAGTGCTTCCCCCCATTTTCTGCATGATTTTCCACCCTCCCCAGGCTCCAGAGGCTTTATAGGAGCTTGGGGAGCGCGAAAACTGCCCCCCCACCCCCCGGAGGCCCTCCGGAGGCTTCAGGAACCTTCAGAGCAGTCAAAACAACCCTCAAACTTCCGGTTTGCCCATAGGGCTGGTTTTTTGCACTCTGGAGGCTTCAGGGAAGCTCATGAAGCCTCCGGAGGGTCTCCGGGAGGGGGAGGCTCTTTTCGCCCTCCTCAGGCTCCTATAAAGCCTCTGGAGCCTAGGGAGGGCGAAAAATGGCTTTAAAAAAGGGTGAACTCAGCTGGCCAGCACGCGCATGTGCGCTGGCCAGCTGACAGGGCAGCACCTCGTGTGCCCTGACAAATGGCTTTGCGTGCCACCTGTGCCACGCGTGCCATAAGTACACCATCCCGGTTATAGAGAATGAAGGATTTATAATAAACCCATTGCTGTGGACTTGCCATGCTTAAGGTATCTGATCCTGTTTCACTTCCTACCTTCACCTAGCTATTTTTTTTATACAAGACTGCTAAATAGAAAGGTTATTACTACCCTGTTCATTTTCACCTCTGTAGGGAAGACCAGCAATGGGTCTTCTTCTGTCATAGTGTGTGCTACTTCCCAGAAGAAGTTGCCAGATCAGCTAATTTGAATAAGATAAATCCTAGTCAAAAATATTGTTCTTTACATTTTTATTTATTAGATTACTAAGTCACATGTAACATGACTCAAAGCTGTATACTAGAATTGCATAACCAGAGAACACACCAGGTACTCACAAAATTGCAGGTCTTCAATGAGGGGACATGGAGCAGGTTGACCGTGTCCAAGAGGGGCCTTATGAATGACTAACAACATCTTAAAATTCACTGGGAAGCCAAATAAGCAGCTGCTGCTGCTTGCCCAGTAGAAATATGACAATAATGTACCCCAATCACTTAATTATTTGCAGATTCAGGACTACTTGTAGCTTTTTCACAGTAGTAAAAGGTAGCCCCATATAAAATTCATTGCAGTAGTCCAAAGAAGAGGAGGCTAAAATATGGATAACCATAAGAATGTTCTTAAAACCTATTTGATAAAGTTAGACAATCCCCAAGAGTGGATCCCTGAACCCATAGCTAATTTGTTTTAGTCTCCTCAAATCTATCCCTCTAACTTCAACTTCAACAGAAGCCCTTATTTGCTTTACTAAACAGAATAAAGATTATTTTAAAAAAATATTTAAAAGGAAAACAAAATAAAAAGGGCAATAGGAGACTACAGTACCTGTAGACAACAATATAGTTTTTAAATACAACATTGGATCTTGACTACTTTACATAAAATAATATTGTGTGCTAACAGCTATAGACAGGACTGCAGAATGTGCAATCAGTCTGTGGTTAGAAACAAGTAAGATCCAGGTAGCAGATTCAACATTGTGATGGGTTATTCAAGAGCATGTATTAAAGCAAAGACAATTCAACAGAGAACAAAAAAGTTCAATCTCAAGCAAAATACAGACTCCTATGAACAATTTGGTATCAGGTTCCCAAAGAGATGCTACAGATATCAGACAGAGTGGGGTCCTCTTCAGTGGATGTTCAAGTAGAGACTAGACAGGCATCCATCACGCTATTTTATTTTGGATTTCTCTAATACAAGGGGTTCAGTTTTATGACCTAAATGGCTTTTTCAATTTTGTAATCTATGATGGTTTTCCAGTGGCCACGGCACATTCTCTTAGCTTCATTCACCTCTCACCAATAGCAGAAACTGATTACGAAACATTAACAAATATTCAGGGCATTTGACCACACAACAAGCCTAACTCATGCTAATACAAATAGATATTTTGTTTCTGTTCTATGCATATTCAACTTTAATTTAACTGTTACCATTACCTCATCATATCCAAAAATAGATGCATAGAAAACTTCCGTCAAGGTTCTCAGACTTCTTCTTAGGATAAGAGAATTAACCTGAAAAATAAAAGCAATGTGTTCTCTGACTTAGAAGAAAGATTGGTATTAGAGGCAAAAACAGCACAAAATATTACAGTCTTTTACCTATTTGCTTGCTTTAGATAGCACAGAACAAAAAATTATACAAAATGAAAGACTTGTGATGTATAGAAGAGAAGGATGCTTGCACAGAGCTTCTATATGTTTGCAATGTTTAGAAAGTATGCCATATTATTAAACAAAAAGCAATGTGGCAGCCAACCACAATTGTTCTTTGAAGGCATGTTCAAGACAATATTTTTTTTCAACAGAATATGCTTCTGAATAAACAGTATTTCTATTAAGGGGAACAGCTCTCTTTAACACACCCATAATAAATTATTCTTTCATTTTTAAAACAAATCCTATGAACTATAATATATTTATGATGCATTTTTATTATACAATAAAAATGTTACCATAAAGATTATTTAACACAAAATACAAATATTACAAGAGGCAAAGAAATTAATCACACTTTACACCATATCCCTTGCATAGCAGTTTTAAAGCAAAAAGGAGGGGAGCACCTTTAAAAAGAATTATTGAGAGAACAATAAGCTAAGCAAGCATGCCAATAAATAAAAGGATGAGTCTTTTATTGAGAAGGAGGAGTGTATCCTGGATAACAGCACAATTTTAAAGCCTAATGCTGGGAAAGATTGGGGGCAAAAGAAGAAAGGGATGACAGAGAATGAGGTGGCTGGATGGAGTCACTGAAGCAGTAGGAGTGAGCTTAAATGGACTCCAGAGAATGTTGGAGGATATGAAGGCCTGGAGGAACATTGTCCATGGGGTCACGATGGGTTGGACATGACTTTGCAACTAACAACAACATCTTCATATGGAGAAACTCTTATGGCTAAATCTAGAGACACAGTACTTCATTAAAGAAAATAAACTTAGAGAGGACTCTTTGAACAGTCTGTCTCAATCCTATCTTCCCTGAATTGCACAAATCTCAACATCTAGCTTTCAACAATAATTACATTTTAAATTACAATCCTGTCGCAAATGTTATGAATAGTGGAAGACGTAAAATTGCTGTTAGCTACATCTTATTCTCCTGAAAAATAAGTCCTGCACAGATCTGTGAAGACCACAACTTGAACTAGACTTACTTTCATATTGGCTTTTGATCAGAGTAAGTGAGGAATCTTAGGAGAAAACAGGCAATATTCTAGAAGCCTAGAAGTTTTCTGAAGGCTTCAGATTAAGGGCTGTGCCCCAAATCCCACAAAAATATAAATTAAGCACAGATGCATTAAAAGCCACTGAAATCTATGGCTCAAGATTACTTTCAGAAGGTATACAGTGAAATTTTAGATACAAATGAGCCTAAATGAGTCCAACAGTGTTTAATTTGCAGATAAATATGCATATCTTAGAGCTTAGAAATTTTTCCCAGATTGTCAGAATTAAGGAGTTAAAAGATACTCATTCAAAATGTGCTAAGATTCTTAGTTTTATATACAACATAGGAATATCTTTGAAAAGATTCCTTCATTGTACTGAGAGATAACATTTAAATTATGATTAGTACCTACAGGAACAAACCCTGGGTATACATGCTTTCTGCTTTTTCATACAGCACAGCCCCAAGAAGACTTTATTTCAGAGAAACATTCTGATGCAAATCATGATTAGCTCAATTATGATTAAAACAAGTAAGGTTCAAATCCATATATGAAAATGGTCTATTTCAAAGTAATCATAATTGTAACTAATCACAGTGTACTGCCATTTGGATGTTATGTTAAACTATAGTTAATAAAAAAACAAAAGCAAAATATCTTCTTGTAGCCAAGGGAAAGAAAGGAAGGGAAAGCACTTATACCAAAGTTAATAAAAAACAAAAGCAAAATATCTTCTTGTAGCCAAGGGAAAGAAAGGAAGGGAAAGCACTTATACCAAAGTTAATAAAAAACAAAAGCAAAATATCTTCTTGTAGCCAAGGGAAAGAAAGGAAGGGAAAG